AATAGATAATCAATTGTTGAAATCATAAAAGTTAAAATATGACCAAATCTTTAATTAAATAAATCATCTAATTTTGTCATTTGCATTTCAATTCTATAATTTCATATGAATTTTGCAAATATTTCGAAAATATAAAATATGACACAATTTTAGATTTTAATATCATTTTGTTAATTTGGAATACTGAAGGTGAAATTTGAAATATGAAATATGAAGAGCTGTGTTAGGATTATTTAGATTAATAAATGATGAAGAGATATCAATAAACGAAATAATTGATTGTAGATCTACAAATAATACAAAAATGAAATTTTAGAAATTTGGATTACAAAAATATATTATATAATTAGTTTACTATTATATCTAGTTTATGTTTGCTGTAATATTAGAATTATCAAAATTTTATTATCGATAATATATTTAAAATATTATTAGGATAAATAAATTATTAAGTTAAAAAATTCATTAAAATTGATTTAATACAAAATACATTATTAAATTTATTATAATACTTTTTTTATTCTAAATTATATTATTGTAAATATAAACATAACATATACATATTATTTAATCAATCAGTATATTATGGAAAGTTGAATAATTTTGCTTTTTCAAATTTTTAATCCTTGAGAGTTTAAATAGAAATTCTTAAACTTTCTTAATTGACAATTATAGCATTTTTGCTATCATTTTGGCTGAATTTGTAAATATAAATAATAATGAAATTATTTAACATCAGTCTTAAAAAATCAGCAAATAAATTAATTTCAAAAAACGAAAAATAAGATTAGTGAGAACAATGAAAAATATATATTAATTACTATTTTTTTATATTTTTTTATTATATTATTTTATTGTTATATTTTGTTGTATTTTTATGTAATGTTTTTTATTATATTTTTATTTAATATAATGAAGAGAAGTGTTGTGTAATGTATATTTCAAATTATATAAAATATAAATTAAGTATATTTATTATATATATATTTTTTAAGTTTTTTTACTACAATTATACAGCACTCAAAAAATAGTAAAAAAAAAACTTATGTAATTCCATTAAAATGTTTTCAATAATTTCAATATTTTAAATCACATAATATGAAGATAATATATTATCAGAATATAGATCATTAAAGTTATCATTTACAAGTTCTGGTCATGCTATATAAAATACATCAAGAAATTTTGATGATATGAAAGTATTTAATAGATTCAAACGATAAGAAAGAAATTACATAAAAATGAAAGTATTTGTTTTCAATGTTAAATGATGAAGGATTTATTAAGTTGAAACATTGCACACAAAATGTAAAATATTTATAATAGAAAAACTCTATTATAAAATTAATAAATATTTATTGGAAAATTATTCCGAAACATATAAAA